CTTGCAGCTCTTTTTCCTGCTCAATTTGGCATAAACTCTTGCAAGTTTAAAGGCAAAGGATACCATATATACATATATATAGACACAGACATATGGCAAGTGAGAAGGAGCAAGAAATGTAAAGGGCAGTCTAGTAAGAATGGCAAGGGTAGAGCTGTTGTCCTGCTCCACTGAGACCTCCTGGATCCAGCATGCACAAGGGAGTGCATAGGATGCTGTCACAGGATGAAGCAATTCACAGAAGGAGGGAATCAGCCTCAGTGGTGCTCTTGGAAGGAGGAGTACTGGAGCTCAAAGCTCTTTACCTGTAGCTGAAGAAGAGTGTACTGCCAAGAAGCAATTCCAGGAGCTTTGAAAATGAAGCGCACAGCATTGGTGATCAGGAAGCCAGCCTGCAATTCAAACAGAGATGGCACTTTCAGCAACTACTACTGCTTGTAGGGAAGGAGTTTCCACTGCTTTGTAACACTCTTAGCCCTGGGAAAGTCTGGAAGATACACTTGGTCTGCTGGCACAGTTCCTCCCTCTGCTCTCTCAGCTAGATGGCTCAGCATCTTTGCTTCTCTGAACTACCCAAGGTACACACTGAGTCAGCTGTGTAAGGCAGGGCCTGGCCACAACTTCCTGTTGATGCCTGCAAATTCTTCACCTTTATTGACAAAACATGGCTATATTCAACAACAGAGGCTTGAAATGAGACCTACCAGTACAATAGGGACAGCATATTTCAGCATCACTGACTGTACAGTGAATCTCTCATTATCCAGGGCTGTCACAGGACGTGACAAAGCCATTTCCAGACACCACCTGAAAAAATGGAAAAGAGCTTGAGATTTCAGCAACCAAGACCCCAGCCCTGCACTTTCCTAGGAGAGATTAGAACACTGCATTCACCCTATGCTATGGGGATGTACTTCAAAAGAGAAGCCAAATCCTACAATAACAGTTTTGCACTTGCCATGGTGAATTTGCAGTGCTGTTGAGCAAACTCCCCACCTGCTTAACAGGAAGGCTCCATCACCCCAATGTGTATTGAAACTCCAACAGGACATTCAGAGATCTGTATCTCCAGTTGACCAAAGGCTGTCATATCACTGGTTATGTCAAATGCATGAAATCTGTGACCTCCCTGCCTTGTTCAAATTTAGTTGGACAGTAATGTCCTCAACAGTTAATACTTGGCATAATATGTGGTTTTATGTATTAGCTTAAACTACCAGCTAAGGTGGGCAATTGAAGACAGAGTTAAGAGACTTAGAAAACTGCCAGGTATAAAGAAAACACAGCACAGCATATTTGAAATCTCCTGTTCTGGACGAGTAAGTCTCATTCTTCACCAACATGAGGCAGCCACAAGGACACAGACAAGGGCAGGCCTTGAGCACTGTGTTTAACCCACCTGACATTATCTATTATTGGCGTCTTCAAGACACGGAAGAGACGATACAGCTGAGGGTTCTGAGGTCCCTTCTTCACTTCCCCCCTTGGCGAGGGTGGAGGTGAGAAAGGTGGAAACAGATCTCCTGGCTCCAGAACTATGTGCTCATCATCCTAGGGAAAAGGTCAGAGAGTCAAAGGCTGCACAGTCAGGGGCTGGATGGAATCCTGCTGCGAGGGACTGGAGGCTTAGTCCAGCAGGATCCCCACTACGTGTTGGTCACTCATATTGTAGTAGTTCCCTCTCTCAGCTCTCAAATATTCATTAGCTAAACTGTTGCTTCAAACTTGAAGTAAAAATGAGATGCTTGTGTTCAAGCACATCTGGTTATGGCATGACAAGTGGCATTTGGAGTGAAAGTTATAAAACCCAGCAAAGGCAGATTTCAGGCTTTAAACTTCTTCCAACCTTCTTCAAGCACGTTTTCACTGAGATTTACTTCTACCTCATGTATTTTATATTATCTTCTTTTATAATAAGCTAGTGGTAAGGAGAAGGTCAAAGTAGACAAACTTTATTTCTCCACATAAACCCCAGGATAAAGTAGGGGGTTTGCATGTCTTATCTACTGCATAGATTCACTTCACTTCTATTTAGCAGCACATTACAATTTCCCCTTGAGCTGGAAGAGATGGAAATATGGTCCTTTGGTATCACATTAATGTCTCCCACCCATTGGGTTTAGGAGTTCATAGGGAAAATGCAGTCTGCCTAACAAAGCACCATCCTTGACTGAACTGGAATTTCAGACTATTTTCAAGGTCAGAAGAAATCAAACACTCCAACAATCTGTACTCTTGCAATTAGAGTATTAGCAAAAAAATCCCAGGAAATACATTGTTACAGGCCAGGGAAATAAGAAAATTACCTTAATCCCTCTTAAAGAAGCAAATGACTCCTGGCCTGGCCTCAAGGCAACGACATCTCCTTCTACTAACAGGCTCACAGGCAGGTTGACAAGATGACCATCCCTGTAGGCCCAGTGGAGGGACCAGGATGGGGCATAAGGCATGTGGAGGTCAGGGTACATGGAGTCTGGCCATTTCACCTCCTTGCCAAGTGTATCTGAAAGCAGAAGGTGTGTAAGAATTAAGTGATAACAATTCTGGAGGGGCAAATCACACATCAGTTTACATCCTGTAGTGGCTATAGGTCCTCCAGGGCTAAGCCTTTGATCTTTTAGCATCTCTCTCTTTCTCCTTGATGTCTTTTCCCCCCTCTTTCCACCCAGTATTAACAACTAAACATTCTATAACCTCAAATACACACTTGTACAATGGAAAAGCTGAAGTCTGTCCTTAAAACGACCACAGTGAACTGAACTACCTCCTCAGGTTGAAAGCCCCACTGAGATGATGCTCATGCACAGCAATTTATTTCCTTCTGGTCTCTGTTGTGGTACAACCCCACGTATTCTTCTCTCATCATCTGCTCTAAGGCAGATATTTTTGTAGGCTACTGAGGATTCAAATTACTCCAAAGCACAGACATAACAGACGCCCACCTGATAACACACAGATTGGAAGCACATGGCCACATGATAGCTCAAAATAACTATTGTACAGGAGAGGCAGGAGTAGGACACAGTTCTCAGTGTTTCTGTGCAGCACAGGGCAAGGCTACTAAGCCCAATTAGTGATATATCTGGCCAGGTTTGGAGAAGAATCCAACAGGAGGAAAAGACAAATGCAAGTAAGAGACAGATGAACGGAAGGAACCTCACCATTTATCTTCTCAATGATTGTCTGAAGTCTCCTCTCCACCTCTCTGCACTTCAGCCTCTCTTGACGCCCGATTATGAAGAGATCCAAGAGGAGGAGGAGGAAGAGTGCCAGTGCATTGACTATCTCAGCCCCTTGGCTTTGCACAGCAAAACAGAAGAGAGCAGGAAGGTTTGAGTTAATGAGCAGAATACACTGCCAGCCACCCACAGAGATAAATGCACACCCGCTTGGTTGTTTATTCCTACATCCCACAGCCTCCTGGCTAAAAAAGAAAAGCAGGGGAGCTATGATCACACTTCTTTAGGATAATGCCACCTGAGAAGTCTGAAAGGTCTTTTCCCAATTAAACAGTAGCCTGACAAATAGAGTGAGGAAATGCTATGGCATATGTGATAGCACTATGAGCAACTAACTTCTCCAGTTTCAAAATCCTTCCTGGCTCTGATAGTGCCTTAGGATTTTTCAAGATCTAGGAATGCTGTAGCAAAACCATCTCAGTCTCTCCATAGGACACTCTATGGGTCTTTTAGAAGTAGGATTAAGTTGGCTGAAGTTCTATGAAACAGACTGATAGGGACAGAATTACCAGTGCATGCTAATGTCTTCATGTCTGCACAGAATGAGGGACAACACCGTTCTATCAGCCACAGTGTCAAGACAATATAAAACTGTCACCTTGCTCCAGTTACCCAGCATAGGATGTTGTTCTTACCTCCCCTGTGGCTGGCTCCCATAGCAGCACAGCAGCAACAGCACTGCCAGAAGCATCAGAGATGCACCAGGCCAGTGAAAACAGGAGCAACGGTTACCATGGTACAGAAAACTGCTCCTCCACACCTCCTACAAAAGCAGAGCAGCAGACAGCATTTAGGAAATACAGAGGCAAAGGCTTGGAAAAGCACAGTAAGGAAGGGGGAAGGCAGCAGTGGACACTCCAGGGTGAACAGGACTTTGTAAAACCCCCTGAACATGACAGAGAGCATCTCAGATCAGTTATGGGAATGCTACAGCACTAATGCTTGCTCAACTGGTGGGTCTAAGTGAACTCTCTCTGCTTTACTCTTGCCTGAAAGAATGAAAAGGCTTCTGTGCCAGGCTGCCCCCCTGTCACTAACCAAGCACTGTGCATAAGTACTGTGCACAAACACCAGCACTTTGTCGTGCCAGACAAACACGGTGGGCAAGGGAGACTGTTGAGCTTCACAGCTCTTGCTCTTCACCTAATATGGACCCCACTGCCATTAGTGGCTCTTGAAGCCCTCAGATCCTTCACAGGTGCAAAGCTTCTGTTGAGTTCCAGCATCCAGTAGAGAAGTGCTGGGAGAAAATATATCCTTAGGTAGATGCCTTGCTTTGTTCCCGAGGACTTCAGCAGTTCTATACCCAGGTACTTTGCAGGATCAGTCTGACAGGGAACGCAGCCAACTTTTGTTTCATCTTCAGCTATTCCTCAGCTGAGTGGTTTCGTGATGAACATTTACCAGGAACTATGATCTTGGACTTCAGACTCACCTGCATTGATGGTCCAATCCAAAAGTGTAACTGAGTGTCAAGGAATAGCAGATAGATGCTTTTTAAACTACCATCTATCACACACACACACTCCCCACCTATCAGCTTTACTTTGAGGAGACTGAGTGCCCAACCTTGTGCTGTTGGTGCCTCACCTTCCATGAAGCCACTTTCTTCCGTTCCTTCTGATGCCCCTCCAGCAGTGCTGACAACTGGTCTCTCAGGATGGTGAGGGCTTTCTTTGTGGTGAGGCCCAAACTTGAAGTCATCTCATCCTGAGGTGCCAGAAAAGCAAACCGGTTAGTGCTTCCTTATGTCCTTGTTAGGCTTTTTCCTGGAGGCTGACTGAGCACCCTACAAGGAATGCCCCACAATCATCACCAGTCTGCTTCTGCACCTTCCTGGAATCATCTTCCCTCCTGTGAACTTTAGCCTGCTGGCTGGAATTGGAGCCCTTCGATAGTATCAGGTAAACAAACTGTGCCAGATAAACACCTTATCAAAGCACAATACAAAGTCATTGCTGTGAAACAAGATTCTAATCAGCACAGGCTGAGGACAATACAAAGGGAGGCTGCTCAGCTCCAAGGTTATGCAGGCTTGAACTGGTATCAGCTTGTAGAGACAACAGAACACAGTTACAGTAGAACAGGATGGGTTTTGCTAATGGTACTAACAACTAGAGTAGTAGAATATCTGCAATTCTAAACAAGAGTGGCCCAATTTCCACAACTGCTTATTATGAATTTCTGTTTATGAGTCCTGCCTGTGGGTATTTGACACAGAAGCTGCCAAATTTAAGTGCTAGGCCATGAATCAGTTCAGGAGGAGGCTCCAGCATCAAATTCTACATTTACAAGAGAAAGCACTAGAGTTTGAAGTGGTGAACTGCACAAACTTATGAGGGAGGCATCTAGACATGAAGGAAGCACAGAGTCCAGAGCACTGCTCCATCACTGGTCAGCAAAGAGGCAGCAGCAGCAGCCTGAAAGGATGCAACCCAAGAACAGGCCACCTGGAATAGATTGCCATAGGATGCTGGTGACAAGAAAGTGGAGTGAACACTTGCATTTCTTGGGCAAGGCAAGAACAAAAGCACTTCCCTTTCTTTCAAATCCCTGCTGCGAGGTGGGTACCAGATCACTGAAAGAGAATTAACCAGGAGAAGCAGGCAGATGTCCCTGAGAGGGCTACAGCAGAGAGCAGGGAGCTGGACAACACAAGTTACCATCTGCACTGCATGTCTTCATACAAACACTTCGAGGAGGGTGCAGAGACACAGGATATCCTGCATGTTAGAAGCGTTCAGGTGTCTCATACTGTTTACAGCACTTCTGAACACAAAGCAGGCAGGAAGCTGCCCCTCCGGTCCCCACCAGTGTGACACAGCCCAGCAAAGGCAGGAGCTGCAGCTCTTCCTGCTACTGCAGTCACCAGCTCTTCCCAGCCCTGCCAAAGCCACCGTGGTCTCAAAGTGCAGCAGCTCTGCTCTTGGGAGTTGCATGCATGCACTCAGCTCTGCACGTGCAGCTCACTGGGACCTGCAGTTTTCTTCCTGTTCCTCAGCTGAGTGGTTTCATGATGAGCATTTACCAGAAACTACGATCTTGGACTTCAGACTCATCTGCATTGATGGTCCAATCCAAAAGTGTAACTGAGTGTCAAGGAACAGTAGACAGATGCTCTTGAAACGACCATGTACCACACACACACTCCCCACCTACCAGGGACAACCTGAAGCAGCTAATTCTGGCCAGGCAGATGCTGCTCTAGCTGCCCTTTTACAGGACTAAAAATAATCCTGCTGCAGTTTTCATCCTCTGTGTCAGTTTTAGGAAGAGAGGAAGCAGTTCTGTGGTGCTCTTGGAAGCAACCCAGGTAACATCAGCACAGGACTAAACATAGGAGTCTCTCAAAGACTCCCAGAGGAGAAGATGGCAGCAAACATGCTGCTGCACCACGGGAGTGCTGCAAACGGGAGTGCCTGAGAGCAACAAGGAGCAAGTGACAGTAAAGGTTTCTGCCTCTCCACTGAGGGTTGTATGGGACAAAGCACCTGCAAAAACATCCTCTCCGACACAGGGAGAGCAGAGAGATAAATAAAAGACACAGAATGAGCAATAAGGACTTTAACTGGAAAGCAAAGTCTGCTTAGACACCAAACTGCTTCCAAAGGATGCATCAAGAGCTACAGATGAAGTGAGAGGAAAACTGCACTTAATGCCAACATCTAGTACAGTCACACACTGCCTGGAAAGTGCCACATCCCAGCAGGCAGCGACCAGGAAAAGGCAGCAAACCCAGAGGTAATCAAAAAGGGTCCTGAAATACGTGTACATCTGCTCCAGTCTTTACACAGGAGCTACTGTTCTGCTGCAGTGTCAGTCGAAGTAAGGGCAGCCACAAAGGGAGGTGGCTGTAAGAGGTGAGAAAGGCCAAGTGCAGAGTGTGGCAGGGCAGGGGAAGACCAGCAGGAAGGACAGGGATTATTAAACACCCATCCTGACACTGAAAACATGGAGTGTTCAGCAAAGCAGGCAGAGCCTGTGGTAAACAAACACTGGATAATAGGAGTGAGAGGCTGCCTGTGGTGACTCGGATCACCCACTGCTGGTGAGCACCAAGGGAATGCGCTTGGAACCAAGGAATGAAAGGGACAGGCAAGAAGAGCCACCCCGAGCTGCTGGCAAGGGGCAGCTCTGGGTTTTCACAACAAGAAGCCATCACTTGCTAATGAGGCATGTTTCAAACCTTTGTATATTGCAAACCTTGGCGCTCTTAAGCTGTCCCAAAGGGATCTTCCCAGCCTTCATCAGCTGCAAGTGCTCTTCCTGCCACAGAGGAGGACGTGAGCACCCCAGTGTGAAGAAGCCATTCACAGGAGGTGGCAGGTCATTAATAAACCCCTCAATGTTCATCTCTTTGCTTTGGACAGTGGCATTCAAAGAGTAATCCCCTCATTTTCAAGTCCAAACAAAAGCAGCAAGACACCATCCCACCCACAGGCTTTCTCTGAAGAACAGAAGAAACCAGTAAACTCCAGGTTAAGGTGAAAGCAAACCCCTGCTGGGAACCAGGAGGCATTTTCAAAGGCTACACTATCCTTTTGCCCATGCCTGAAGGGGAAAAGTCCCGAGGAGAAAATCAGCAGTTGCTTCCTCCTTTGTCCCAAGGGGCTGGAGAGCACAAGAGGCTCCAAGGGCACTGATGACCCCTGCCCTGCCTATTGCAGCTCTAGTCCGTGATGCATGACTGAAGGCAGGTAAAGGGAAGATTGAAACCCTGTTCCTTGGAGATGGTACCACAGCTCTCAGTTGTGATCTGCAGGATGGCTGTGAAGGAAAAACACAGTGCAGATCTCTTCTGTGCATGTGATTTTGCTTTGTAGAGGGAATGAACACGCTGAGGTGTGGACTGGAAGGGAAGATGAAAAGATGCGTCAATGTCTCCACTTGCAGTAAACATCCTAGATGTTAAATTGCTGCTTAGCTTGCCTGCTAACATCAGGGAAAGGGAACCTGAGCTAGATATAGCAAATGCCCAGGTTTAGGAGCCGCGTTGGCTCTGCAGGAAGGACACAAGAAGTAGCTCAGAGCTAGGAGACAGGGAGCACAGAATGTGCAGACTTTTCTTTGACTTCTCAGCTGGCCCCCCCATAGCTTGACAGGGAGAAATTATTGGGCAAATACCCAATGATCCAGGAGGATCACAGCTAAAAGGTTTCCCTTGCCTTCCTCATGGGTTGCAGAGGCATTTGCAGACTGACAGATAGGAAAAGAGTGGTTATCTTCTGATTCTGCCTCCCACGATGTGAAGTTGTTCCTGAGCATCACCACCTACCCATGTCTGCTTCCCACAGCCCACCTCCATCCTCACATAAACCACCAGTGACTCCTGATGTCTCCTCCTAAAATTCCCATCTTGTTCTTTGACACATGGAAACATTCAAGAATATCTTTGACGGTTATCAGCTATTCTCTGCTATGCAATGAAAGACAGAGGTCTTGCTCCTTCCTTCAAGAGGAACAAGCAAGCAGAGATTAGACGTACGCAGGTGAGCAAGAGCCATGAAGTATTAGTACAATGAAGTCCTCTTGTCTTTTCATACAGCCATTACACATCTATAGTAGCATATTTATTCGTTGTACCAGTAAATGTTGATATAATAAGTGGTGTTGTAGCACATGTGCCAAACATTGTTTTAAATAACACCAGAACACAAATACATTCTTTGCCTTTCAAAGCGAGTTGAATCATCCTCCATTCTCTGTGGATTCAGCCTCTTGCAGGATAAGGAGTTCTCACCAAGCCTGCTGTACACTTTGTAACTGCCTTTACAAAGCCTGTTTGAACAACTAAGGGAACAGAAAACAGAATATTTGCTGGAAGCTTCAGTTTTCACAGCCTGCAGATCCACCCCTTTGATTCAGAGTGGTATGGAAAACCACTACAGAGCGGTATGTCAGACTGGTTCCCTCTTTCCAGGCTGCACACAACAGGCCCCTTTTTCAACACTTCTGTTCAATTACTTCTCAGTTTTCAACAGTTGGAGGTGGACAACTGGGCAGCAGAATGTTCTTGCTTTCCCTGACAGCTACTGTGCATTCCTGAGCAGAAAGAGAAGGCAGCTTTTCATTCAACAATGACATTTTGCCATTAATCTACTTTAGGGATTACACCTCTTGAAATGTAAGCACAGTTTCAGAAACACATGAGAAGGAGTAACTTCACCAAATATATTTCTGCATGACAGTGTGACAACTGGATGCTCCTCTGCGCCTCAGTTTCCCATCTCAACAATGTGACTACCAACTGTAGCTGTGATGAAGGTTATAATGGTCACCAACCCACCTGAACACTACTGGAAAGCTCAGGAAAAAGAGCTATGTGTTGATACCCACAGGACTCAGGCAGCTCCTTAAAGCAGATCATGGCTCTGTGGGCACCACTGCCTTTAAAACCGGACATGCTGGAAAAGGTGCCAGAAGGCACAATGAATTAAACTTGGTTTAAATGGCACCTGCCATGAGCTTGGCAGCCACAGCTTAGCTGTTGGTGGTCTCAAATCAAACAAGCAAAGCCTTCAGCACAGCAGTGCCCAAATTAATGGCCAGAGCAACAGTCAACAACTGCCTCCTTCCTCCATCTGCAGCACCAGTATGAAAGGCAGAGCCCAGACCTCCCCCTGCCCCCGGACAAAGGAGCCCCCACAGTTTGGTAACTGGGTGCCTGCGGGGGCTTCTGGCTTTGAGGCTCATCGCTAACAGGGCCTGCAGACTTGCTCTGCAAACAGACACAGCTGCAGGAGCACAGATCTCTGAGAGATGTGGCCAAAGCAACACTCATCAGCTGCCTGAATCATCGCTGCATTTTGCTGTGAGCAGAGTCCATTTTAACCCACACAATGACATTCACATTTTACCCCCTCCATAAAGCACTGAGTAAGATGCCAGCAGGCATGACCAACCTTTCTACATGGGTAATGCAAAACCCAGTGCTCTGCTTCTCCCTCAGCTACAGCAGCTCAACAGCAGAGAAGGAGGCAACCGCTCCCCAGGTACCAGCCCACTGTTGAATCGTGCATTCTTCAGTCCTGTTTGCAACAGCAAATCTCCAGCCATAGTTACCTGCCCCACCAGGCTGCTGGCAGGATGAGGCAGTGTTTATGCAGTGCTTTGAAGCTCACCTGTGCTATGCAATTATCAAGCTTTAATTACATTATTCCTCCAACTTCAGAGAGCACT